ATGGATGGATGGATGGATGGATGGATGGATGGATGGATGGATGGATGCATGGGGTTTGGGAACTCCAGTTTAATGGAATTCAAAACAGGATTGTGCCCATGTCCTAGTGTGCAATGCAGCATACCACCACATCACATTCTAAAGAGCAAGCCAATGAGGGACTCATCTGTCATAAAACACTTCTAACACCATAAAGAAATCACAAATTATTTGCCAGTTTACCTTTATGTCAGTATTTGGGCATAAGATGTCTGATGTGTCAACAATATCCCAAAAGGCCAATATACTGTAGGTGTGTTGTATAAATTAGAGACAAGAGATACAGACGTTCACTGGTGTCCACATGTTTCCAATGTGCATTGTCAACTTGGTCTAAAAACCCCACAGCAGGCATAAAAGGTATTGCTTCAAGCATCACCGTGCTTCTTACTATATTGAATGAAACCTCCAACTTACATGCACTGAATTGAAAGGTGATGCAGCAGAAGAATATATAATTATTTTATCTGTTTCTGCTGGGATTTGATGTCTATTCACAATAACATAATCATATAATCTAAAATTTTCATATAAAGCATGCAGTGTTTGTTAGAGTTTACACTAACCGACATTTTATTGTGCTCATATTTTTTCAGTGATGTACATGAAATTTCCTGCTGCCAAACTTAATATTCAGACATCAGTTTAAAAGTGGTGGGAGTAGACTGCATTAAAATAACTTATTACAACCTATTATCTGCACTGAATGACTTTAATGAGAAATCCAGTATGCAGAAATGTTCAGATGATTCCTTATGCAGTTGTGTAATGGACCTTTTTCAGCACCGTATGATATATGTGGGGTGTGAAAGGAAAATGCCATGTTAAACAAGACCTCCTCCATATTCACAAACAGACAGTTTCCAGACACTGACCTACCTTTACCAGGGGCTCAGTGACTTGCCCCATGAGAACCCAGATTAACTGTTGAGTCCTAACTACCCACCTGCTGTAGTCTTCTTTCATAAGAGGTGAATGACCTGCATTAAAACATGGTCACGAGAATCACAGAAGGAACTGTGACACAAAAAGCTTCTCCAAGATATCAACTTCTGACTCAGAGTGCTGCCCTTCATCTTGGCTCATTAGAATTAAAACAAAAAAAACCCTCCAAATATCCAACTCTCTACCATCAGAGAGTATTAAAGTGAAATAAGATTGGGATGACTGTAAATTCAAAGTGTCAACCATTAGAAAGAAATGTAGACATAAAAAGTCTGAAAATCTTGAATCTAAAAACAGATTCAAGAACCAACTTAAGGGGTTAGAAATACGTCTATCCATCCATCACCTACATTTGCTTTATCCTGTAAAAAGCTGTTTTTCCAGTCTTACAGCAAGGAAATGTAGGGTCTGTCTATATTAGTGACCTCTCCATCACAGAACGAATGCAGAGTGACACATAAGCATTTAGGCCCAAATACAAAATACAAAATATGCCCACTTTCACCTCACAAGTCAAGCTGGCATGTATTTCTTGTGGCAAGTAACCATGCAACAACAGATACACAGCATGATGTGTGAAAAGGTGCAGAGCTGTAAAGAATATGATCCTTGAACAGTCTCCCATGCTCTGTAACACAAGTTCCTTTTGACTTGTTACTGTCTGTATCTCAGACCAGAAATTGGGATCTACATCCATTCTTCTGTTGATGTACAGAGTCTCGACACATTTGAATCAGGCACACGTTCCTTGCTTTCTAGAAAAAATCTTTGGTGCAATGTTGCAATAATGCAATTATGACTATGACGTGAATGGAGGGTTTAAAGTTGGGTCTAAAAACTCTATGCTCTTGGGGAATCTTCTTTCCGGAGGGATTATTCATGTCTTACCTGCTTTACATGCCAGGTACGACTGTCACAGTTAGAGTGCTGCGGATCTCCTTCATCCGCTAAATCTGCTTTAGGACCTGTCTGTCCTCTCATGTTAACCAGAAACACTGATCTATCAAAACCAAAGCGTGATGGCCAACAAGAAATGTACTCACTGAGCCCTTCAATGTTTTCAGCGTCCGACCAATAATCATATTTCAGTGCGCTTATCTTAACATGCAAATCTTGCATCACTGCATGTAGTCCATCATCCAACATTTGATGAGCAGTTTTACATAAATATGTAATCATTTTTTATCTATGATTGTTAAAAAAAGCAAATAAGAAAAGTTCTGACAGGCCAAAAGGACTTCCAATAAAAGTGTCTCAGTGGCTTAACCTCAATAAGTGCTATTTTTTTTAATTACCCTTCAAAACGCACTTTTTGGTTCGCCTCTGAATGTCCCTGCTTATAAGCAGATAACAACTGGGACA